TGGATGGATGGATGGATGGGTGGGTGGATGGATGGATGGGTGGGTGGATGGATGGGTGGGTGGATGGGTGTGTGGATGGGTGGATGGATGGGTGGGTGGGTGGATGGATAGGTGGATGGATGGACAGATGGATGGATACATGGATAAATGAATTCTGATGAATCATCTCCTGTGGATTCAGATCAGATTCAACCTGTGGGTCCCTTTCTTTCCTTAGAAAGAAAGACAGCAGAGGTCCAGGAGGGAGGACCAGCCTGAGTCAGATAGCACTTCAGGGGACTCTGCCCTCAGCTATGGCACCCTTCTCCTTCATAGCCCTGCTCACCTTCTTTCCCTACCAACTGTATATCTTGGCAGGACCTCATGAAAAATGCTCTGCTCCATGTCTGCTGGGGGATACTGGCAGCTGCCTTGCTTTTACCACAGGATCCTTCAATGTTCCATAAAAATATACTTAAAAGAAGGTGAGATCTTGGGGGGGACAGCTGAAACAGTGGAGTCAAGGGTTGGCACACTCTACTTCACAGAGGGAGGAGGCAGCCTGGAGGGCTGAATTCCTCAAGGCCTCCCTGCTCCTTTCTGCTAATCAGAGCTTGGATGCTGCTCCCTGTAGTCATGGCAACCAGCTGATTCCAGCCAAGGATAAGAGTCAGGGTTGAACTTTCTTCAAACTCTCCAAGGTGCCTGGCCCCTTAGCAGCTACCTGCCTCCCTGGCCCAGCAGCCCTCTCCCCACTAAATGCTCCTTCGCCCAGCAACTGCAGATACATCCGGGTGCCCCATGTTACTAGATAGCGTTTCCACCATTTGGGAAATCAAGAACGAATAATATCGGAGAGCTGTGGGAAGGAGCCCCAGGCCTGGTCCTCCTGTGTGCAAAGTGGGGAAACTGAGGCCTCTGGGCTCCAGGGTGACTCCCACCATCACTGTGGCTGGAAAGGTGCCCTTCTGACCCCTCACCCAGCACCCTGAAGCTTGATCCTAGCCTCAGCCAGCGTTTCCTCAGTACCTGCTCTCTGCCAGACACCTGATGAGTCCCTCCCTTAAAGAGCCTCTCATCCAGAGAAGCCCAGCAACAGTCAAAGCCATCCCCACTGCAGATGGCGAAACTGAGCCTCAGGGACACTAAGTGGCCCAAGCACTGGGAAAAAAAGGAAAGGAAGCTGGAACACACTTTGAAAATGGAAGGAAGTGATAAGTGGGGCAAAAGTCGATCTTGACAATTCCCTGGTGAGATGGGCACTTCCCTGGGAGTCTGAGAAAGGACTGGAGTCGGGGTGGCCTGACTCTTGTAGCCCACAAGCACAAGAGGCACATGGTTGGCAGCTTCGACACAGCCCTGACGCTTACTCCCATGCCACGGATGGCCCTTCCTGGTGTTGAGTACCTGCTAATCCTGAGTCTCAGGCATGCTATGCCCTCCATGTGTCCTCAGTCTGGGACTTTACCCCCAGGATGCAGAGGAAGACACTGGAGAGGCAAAGGGGCTCGCTTGCCCCCCAAAGTGCATGTCCCAAGTCCCTACTGCACAGTTGCCCCCCAGGACTTAAATGAGCCTGCCTTGTCCCTGGACATCTGCAGTCTGCCCAGACCCTTTGGTTATGCACCTGCCAGAAACCTGAAGGCTTCCCATGGGGCCAAACCAGCCCAGTGACAAGATGGCTTTCTAATTTGTGCTGTGGCTCCAGGGATTTCAGCCTGGGCCCTGCTAATATCCCAACTTGAGGTCTTGCTACCAAGTTCTTTTCAAGGTGAATTTAGATAATTAAACCGGGTTGGGGGTGACCTGTGGGAGTTGTTACTGTGAGCTCTGCTATCATGGCTGGAAGAAACAGGAACTGGGGTTTCCAGGGAGACAGGAGTTGGATGCAAGGATAGTAATGTTCATCTTAGTGGGAACTGAACGAAACCGGTCAGTTTATGCGACTGGAGTCTGGCATTATTTCACTAATTTTTAACTGTTGTTTGCTGAACTCCTACTTTGTATCAAATTTCAAGAACAGGGAAGTAAGTAAGACTTGGTTCTGTCCTCAAGGAGGACAGGAGGGAAAAACAGATTCTTCACCTGGGAATTATAGTGTGGTCTTAGAGTTCTCTGATGAAGAGAACTTCAGAGAGCTGTGCAGCTACAAAGAGTATGAAATCTAGCTTAAGAAACGTGGACAGTGTCCATGGAGAATGTCCTAGAAGTTGTATGGGAATTAGTTGGGAGAAAAAAGCATCATATACAAATGCCCAGTGCCAAGAC